TCTGATATTTCTGCAACTTTCACTGTCTGTATCATATATGGTATCTATAAAATATAGAATTTAAATGATCCCTTTGAGAACAATCACACATACATGTTTTAATTAAAAAAATTGATTCAATCTTAGACTTAGACAACTTTTTATTATACAGTCATTGAAATTTCATGTTGTACAGCTTTCAGAACATTTCCATTTCATAAACTACAGCAGTGATTAAATGTAAATGTGGGAGAAAAAACATGGATATCGAAGTTCAGGGCATTAAATATATATGGTGCAAATATGCAGTATTTTGGTTTGGTGTTTTCAGTGTGATGCAGAGTCTGTGACATGATTTAGTTTTTTCAACAGTTCAGCTGTCTGATGGAATCAATAATCAATCAATCTATGCCTATTTCCCAAAAAAACCTGCAAGTTTTTCAACAGTGGTAGCATATATGATAAAATAAAAAATTACATAGGAATTGATTGACTATTGATTGACTATCCCCATGTACTGTCTAATAAAGGCAGTTTTTTTTCCTAATTTTTTGTGGTCAAGTGGGCAAGTGGAAAAACATAGCTTTTATGTATTTGATAATGAACATGGAAAAAAACAATCTGATTTTATTTTAGTGTTGGAGCAGGCAGTGGCTGGCCAGAGCAGATCATTTCCCAATTGGCATTTTGTTCAATGATCAGTGATTAGTGATAAGTGCATCAGCCACTGGTCAGCACCAACACTGACTGGACTGAAAACAGCTACTTTGATTTTCCTACATACACATAGCATTACAAACTTATTAAAAATAATAAACAACTGCTTAATTTAATAGCTGTTTAAAAGTTTTTATTATGTAGAACATTTTACCTTGTGATGTCCTGATTTCAAAAGTATGCACAGTTTGCTGCTTAACAGGCCCACAGCTTGTAGCTTGTTGCTGTTACCGTTGAAACAGCAGTACCTTACCATTGGGGCATTGGTTGGTGCTTCTAAATTTTCCACCATATGATTTTTAGTTTTTTATGATGATAAGGGCGAATTTGTCTTTCCTGGAAGCAAGATCAAATTTTTTAAAATAGATTGACATCAGTAGCTTGCCCTGTGTGGCTATTTCTACCATAAAAAGGGTGTACTTTGCAAGACTGTTTTTAAGAGATTATGTCCCCTCTGATCCTTGAAATCATCACTCTCTTCTTTGTGGTTTCCCTAAAATTTGCTATACCTAATGTTATGCTCACTAGCGATTTTTAATTTCCCATTAGGGTATATGTCAATTGTTAGGTTATCAAAAATACTAATATTCCGAAAAGTATCAATAATCAAACATTGTATCTTAATATAATACTAGTTCGGCTTACTAATTACAAGTGTTGTTTGTGTATTTTTGATAATGTTAATTTATAAGTACGAAGAGAAACTGCAAATACTGGTACTAATAATACAAATATGATGTATTTATTGATACCAGGATATAATGGTTTTATATGTGGTTAAATACTGTTTGTTACTAAATTCTTATGAAATTATTTTAATGATTCAACAGTTATTAAATGAAAAGCCAAACTAAGCTGGAATAAATTAGAGAAAACCTATTTTCAAGAGCTGAAAATATAACAGAGCATCATCTACAAACCTTTATTAGACCTTCATAGTTTGTCCTGTTATTAAATTAATTTTAGGTATTACTGTATACATAAAATGTTTCTGTATTTTATTTTGAATAAAACTGTGTGCTTATTCAAATAGTTTAGTTTACATAATGTTACATATATTGTTTTGAAAAAGAAAAATAGTGGTAAGGTAGTGATAAACTGCCATAGTTATTTATTTATTTATTTATTTATTTATTTAAATGCTGAACCTTTAACCCAAAATTGTATGTTTGGAATAAACACAGAAAAAAACGGAAGAAGCCCACCCACATTTGCATCTAAATGTATAACTACTGTAGCACCAGCAGATGTATTATGTTACAATTTTATGATGCAAACCCTTTTTCTGTTCAAATGTAGAATTGGAGAAATGATAAAGAAGGTGGCAATCTAGGGAACCTTTTAACGTGTTAAGGCACATTAATTGCTTTAGTTTTCATTGAACCATCCACTAGGCATTCACATCTTAATACACATTTAGCTAGAAGTTCCCAAAGTGGGTTCCCACTGTTTTCAATTACATCCAGGGCTTTTAAGTTTAAGCTCAAATGAAAGCCCCTCTGTTTCTCATGACCAGCTCATGATGAGCCTGATGATGCTTAAACTTCTTTCTCATTTCTTGCAGGTCTACTGTAGGTTATTAGCTGTGACCTAAATTCAATCAATTTCAATTCAGTTTATTTATATAGGGCCAATTCACAAATGTCATCTCAGGGCACTATACAGAGGCAATTCAACCAGATCATACAGTCAGACTGGTTCAAATTTTTCTATCTAAGGAAAACCAGCTGATTGCATCGACTCATCGACTCATTGACTCGAAGGCAATCCCTCACAGCAAGCATGCTAGTAGTAAAACTGGAGAGGAAAACTTCCTTTTAACATGAAGAAATCTCCAGCAGCACCAACATGAGTGGGATTGTGTTCCTGCAGTGACTGACTGGAGTTCAAGCAGATAATATAGAAAAGAACATACAAAAGCAGAGATACAAAAGATAACCGTTAACCAGCTCAACAGGAGGCCCCATCCAGGAAAGACACAGCCAGTCAGCGAGCTCCAAGCCAGTTCCTAGGTCAGACAATTAGGAGAGAGCACATACAGTTAGTCCCAGTCAGAGAAGCAGGACTACATTTAAAAACAGGCAAAGTTCCAACATCTATAAACAAAGATGTTGATGGCAGTAGGACAGCTGATATTCCTCTCAGGGATGGCGTGGAAGCCAAACAGGAACAGACCAGTGGTGTGTTGTCCTAGTGGTTAGAGCAGTGCGCTTGTGCTCTAACCTCTTACTCTGGGTCTCTGAGCAACACCCTTAACCCCACACTGCTCCCCGGGTGCCACACAATGGCAGCCCACTGCTCCCCAAGGGAATGAGTTAAATACAGAGAGTGAATTTCCCGATTATGAGACAATAAAGGGATTTACATTTTTTTTTTTACATGAAGCTATCATAAGATAAAGCAGAGAGATCATACAATAAGAGGTTGAATAGAATGAAACAGAATGGTGAAAAGTGGTCCCTATGTCCTCCAGTAGTCTAAGCCTATACCAGCATAACTATATGGATACATCAGGATAACATGAGCCCCTCTAACTATAATCTTTATCAAAAAGGAAAGGTATATATACCCTAAAATGTAGACAGGGTGTCTGCCTCATGGACTAAAACTGGTAGTTGGTTTCACAGGAGAGGAGGCTGATAACTAAAAGATCTCCCTCCCATTCTAAATTGGAGGAACCACACGTAATCCTGCAGACTGAGTAATGTGTTTCGTCAGGAACTTAAGAAATGTTCAGATCCCTAATGTAAGACTGGGGCTTGGTTATTGTATCCTTTACGTGTGGGAGGGAGGATTTTAAATTCTATTCTGGATTTAACAGGAAGCCAATGAAGAGAAGCTAATATAGGAGAAATTTGATCTATCTTTTTAATGCTCATCAGAACTCTGGCTGCAGCATTTTGGATTAGCTGAAGGCTTTTAACTACAGTTTGTGGACTTCCTGATAGTAAAGAGTTACAATATTCCAGCCTTGAAATAACAAATGCGTTAACTATCAGCCATTTTTTTGTCAACATTTAGGGCTTACTGTTACCCTCAGCCTGGGTAATGCTGCTTCTAATAGTTCCTGTGTATTCACAAACTCACCAGGCTCTGCTCTCTGTTTGTCTCCGTGGGTGCTATGAAATGGGTTGTTTACCCTGTTGTAGTCCTGTTCTGGTAATGAATAAGGCAGGCTGACAGTCTGGTGCTGCCAGTCTGTCTCTGACTCTGCACATAGTTTGCAGTTGTGGTATTGTGTTTGCCTTAAGGCCTCTCTTTCTTTGGAACCACTGTCTGGTGATGGTGAAGCAGGTACATAAAGTTGCCCCTTTTTTTTTTAGACTCTAGTGTCACTTGGTGATGCTGCTTCCTCAGCTGCCCCTATAACACCCAGTTCTGAATTTGAACAATAATATTGCAGTGTATGCTAAAGGTTCTAGGGATTTATTTCCCTACAAAATGTGTAGTGCAGATCTAGCAGTAATTTGATGGACACGAGAACACATAGATCAAGCCATAATGTGTCAATTTGATCTGACTGAATCAGATAATAACGAAACACAAAATATGAATCAATAATGATCAACGCCAAAACTGCTGGTGTGGGGATGGGGAGGCTTTAGGGTGCCTAACTGTTTCAAGGGGGGGGTCTTAAGACTGCCAGATGCATCCCCGTCCCACTCCAATTACATCTAGCCATAGTTTTTTTTTATTTAATAGGATCAAATGAGAGAGAAAAATAAATAAAAGAGTAAAGACACACACACTGTGCAGACATGGAAACCTACCAACAAAGGGAGCTAATTTTGGATCTCAGGGTAAGAGGTAAAGGATATTTGCAGGAAAGCTGCAATGCAGCTTTTCTTTTGACTAAATGCAAGGCAGCTGCTGCAGTCTTATGAGGCTGCTGGACGTAATGAGGCGCAGATGAAATAAAGCTTACAATACCAGAGTTCCTTTGGCTCATTACAGATACATAGTTTCACCCCTGCTGTGGAGTGATGATGCTGTAAAAGAAAGTTAAGAAACTCTGACATAAAATGGAACTTTTAACAATTCCTTCCTCAACACATGCACATTATGCCCTACTGATCCTTGAGTATTCATTTAGGTCGTTATTGTTGTACATGAGTGGGTATTGTGGTTCTTTTAGTGAAAGAAAGAAGGAATATCTGGCTCAGTAAGTTAAAGCAAGTTGTCTCAGTAAACATGGGTTTGGTTGTTTGTGGGTATAAATCAAAGAAAGTCCCATCTTAAAAGAAATTGCTGTAATATTTTCTTACAAATGCACGTTTAATATTGTCTCCATTGTGTGTTTCTAGGCCTTCCCATGACATCAGCCTAGAGGAGTTTGATGATGAAGACCTCTCGGAAATCACAGATGACTGTGGGATTGGACTCAATTACGACTCTGATCCATACGAAAAGGTAAACCTCTATATAAGTGCACAGACAGACACACACCCACCTCTGTTCATAAAGTGCCTGTAAGTGACAAGTAAACATTTATCAATACAACAAAAAAAGCAAACCTGGTAGGTTCTTAATATGACACCCAACATTGCCTGTAACATGTTTGCATTAAGAACAGTACAGTTAAGTTGTGGCATATACACACCATGGAAAGAAAATATATCAATACTGAAAAGGGAACATATATACGGAGGACCAGCACTGACATGATTGAAAATAAATAAATAAATGCTCAGTAAATTAATTGGTATACAAGTATTTGGACTAAAAAGCAATAATAAATGTAAGGTGTAGATAAATTTGGCAGTGAGAATTAAATGTCATAATACATTTTAATTAGACTTTTTATTTACCCACATACATATTTACTGTCTAATTTATACATTACTAATACAATCTTCATTATTTTTTAATTACTTGTTTCTTAAATGTATCAGTTTCTATGTACGGATAAATTTTTTGTCTGTTTTATTTTTGGATAGTGCTTTTTGTTCTCCCATTGTATCATATGTTAAAAAAAATAAAAATAAATAAACATCTGCCTGAAATGGGATACTAATATCTAATTAAGTTCGATTTAGGGCTGCAACAATGAATGATGAATCAATGAATTTGATTTATCGTAACTAATTGATTATTGCACTAATGGTCAACTAATTCAGTAATTGATTACTTGTTAACTAGAGTATAGAGACTCTAAAACATGCCTTTAGCTGACAGAGCAACCCACTTAGAGCAGTAAGTATACCAAAGCTGTAAAAAAAAAAAAAAAAAAAAAAATCATTTTGCATTTAGGATAACAAAAAATGTTTTCACCTGTCAATATACTCTATCCAGAACTCCTAAAGTGGAAAAGTTCTAGTTTCACCTGGTTTAATTTGGTAAAAAGTCTTCTTTATGGAACCTTTGGCTAATCAATTATTAATTTATTAATCTATAAAATAATCAACAGTTTATCGATTTGAAAAATAATTACTAGTTGCAGCCCTAGCTTTATTCATATAAACAGGTGTCCTGTATAATTTAATTAGTACATAGTATATAAAAGGGACAAGTTTGCTCCTAAAATAGACATAATCTTAGTTATAAATAGCTTCTGATAGCAATGTCTGGTGTTAGCAATTGGCGATATGGACCTTAAATTTTGTGATTTTGTTAAAAGAAGCACTTTCTTCCCTAAAATGAGGAATGTTGAGCATAATGTGAAGTTGTACTTTGGCATCAGTTTGACAAATAAGAAAATCTTTTAGCACACTAGCATTAAATTGGGTAGTATCTAAGTGGAGCTTGAAGCTTTCTTTCTGAAACAGGTTTTGGTGTTATGAATTTATTCTCGTAATTTTTCTACTTTGTTGTCATAATATTACAACTTTATTCTCGTAATATGAAGACTTTATTCTTGTAATATTATAACTTTATTCTCGAAATAAAATAAAAAAATTAAATAAAATCTCTAGCCTGGCCCTAATACTACGTCGTAATATGGTGATAGTAAAACAAATTTTTGATAAAAAAAATCTTAATACACCTGCACTGCATAGCACAGTAATCATAGTGCCTCAATCAGAGAGACCCATTTCAAAAGGCTTTTGCACCAGTTAGATAAAGAATTGGAAATATTCTAACTAAACTGAAGAAAGTAACTGGATTTAATCATATTTTAGGAATTTATCATTTCTTTATTGGATCAAACATTGGAAATAATAGTAGAAACAAATATTGAGTATTTCTCGGAGTTTAATCATGACACTGATATTTATTACAAATTCATAACAACAAACATAATATAAATGCCTATCCTTCTACAGAGTATATTTTAGGATTTACTTTTTTCTTAAGTGCGGTTAAGTGGTTTTTGTTTTATAATTTTATAATTACGGTACACAAAAAAGGTACATTTTGAGACTGTGAACCGAGGAACTGAACCAAGTCTTTGGGATTTGAAACAATTAGCTGTAACATAATGAAGCTAGTTACTCTACTGTTTATTGGTTACTTAGTAATTGCAAATAACTTACATGGCAAGGAAAGAGAGTTTTTGTGGCGCTTTGGTTCAATAAACTGCAATCTCATTAATCAGACTGATATTAATTAAAAGTGGCACTTTAGTGACTAAGTGGATCTGCTATTTCTTCATATAAAGCTTTGTTTTAAAAATCTGTACCTATCTGCCTTTGCTGCTTTACCACTTTACGCACCATGCATGACCTAATAAGTATAAACCCTCTACTGTCAAAAATAATCATACTCAGAAAACAATTAGATAAAGCCTAAATAGGACATTTTGTATGTTCTTGTAAGTCAGCTAAACTCTTTAGTTAAGTTATGAAGTCATCTTATTTCAGCTGTTCTCCATTTCTCTGTCTGTCTATCCTGTTGGATGTTAATGTTTAATGCTAGTGGCGCTGAGCCATGGCTGCAGCAGAAGCTGGGTGACCCAGTGCAGTTTGCTGCTATGCAGAGACATCCTCCTTCTTTCCTCCCTCCCAAGTGTTTTTTCCCTCCTCCCTGCACAGAGCGTTGCCTAGAGACAGAGCTTACACTCCCTTCTTGATCGCTGCCACCTCCTTATCTCTGCTTCCTTTAAAGCATCACTTCCTCTTATTTTTTATTTTCTTTGACTCAGAATTGAGGCATACATTAACTCTCAAGATTGGTGCCACTATAATGTTGCAACAGGTGATGCTTCCTTAACTTTAATCCTGTGCAGTATCGGCCGATATCGATACCATACCGATACCACCTGTTTGAAATTGACTTGTGTGTGTGTATATATAAAGAACTGCATACTACCAAGATGTAAAATAATGGCTTTGTCAAGCTGCTGCCTACCTTTGTGAAGCAGGAAAAAGACTAATACAAAGTCTAGTAGAACATTTTATTGCCTACCTGGAATGTGTGACAATAGTTGAATAAACTTTTGGCTCTCAAAGTGGTATCGCTACCCTATTTGCTGGTACTCGCCGATAATGATACCACCATTTTAGTGCAGTATCTGTAAAAATATTGGGAAAGGCATTTAGATCAGGGACTTTTACATCGACTATTCCGCCATTCCGACTATTCTTACCAATCCATAGCCATCAGACACAGCGCAACTGCTCAAATCACAAACATGAAAGCATAGTTTAGACACAGTGTTAGTCATCGTTACGTTGGTTCATTGCCTGGAGGAAGTAATCCTGCTGACAGAATGGATAGGACACACACTCGGATGCCCTCTAAGTGTTCATGTATGTGTGTACGGTCAGATAACGAGAAAAGAAAGCCGGGACAGAATTGCATAGACAGGGTGCTTCACATGCTGTTTAATTTTGCTTGCATCAGTGAGGTGCATGACACTTTGTCAGCTCATCATTCCAAGCAGCAGTTTATCCCCCCCAATCATCACTCTGGTGTAGAAGACAGAGGCTTGTGGGTTTCTTGTCAGTATGATTTGATCCCACTGGGCAGCATGCCTTTGATGTTGGGGAAGAGCCGTTAAGCTAAATAGTGAGATTATCTTTTTGCCTCAACCCAGTTTTGATAACTTCCAATTAGTTTTGGGGTTCAGTTCTTAATCTGTTAATCCTAAAAGATTGCTGTTATAACAGGGGCACACATATTTGCCCATGCAAAACATGATGTTTTTAGTCTTTTTGTTATCTGTTCTTTAACTAGTGAAGGAAAATATATTTCTGGCTTTTTCTCTTTAGTAAACATCTTAACTCTTCCTGTTTATTTAATCATTTTTTCTCCATGCTGTCCTTTCAAAAACCCTCAAAAGGGTGAAATTGTATACCCCTCCATCTTTTTAGGCCGGCATTTCACCATGACAGGGAGAGAAACCACAATGGCGGCAGAGTTTTCCTCCTTCTGTTCATGCTGTTTTCACAACTGCTCACATGAACACATACTCACAATCAGACACCCCGCTGCTCTCTGTCTAAACTCACCTCCAGCTGCCTTCTTCCTGTCTCTCTAATAGGCATCTCCATCCCTCCAGTGCTCTGACTGAGTGTCACAAGCCTATGCATAATTCAGCATGTGACAGAGCAGCGGTGTTATGTGTTCTAGCTGCGTTGCAACTTTTACTTTGAAATGTTGACATTTACAGATGCAGCAAATTTAGAACCAAAGCAAGTTTTTAATTAATGATGATTTTTTTTTTTCTAAACCCTTTTGAAGGCCATTTAGATTTGAAGTAACATGTCTAAGGATCGTGGGATATATATAGCATTGCAGTCATAACACTGTCCTGCTGAAATGTTAAAAGAAAACTTTTTCCTGAGTCTGTAGCTTATTGTGTAATTTAGAGTTCCTTTAAGAAATCCAAGAAAATTACGTAGAGTATAAATAATATTTATATGCAAACTGCCAAAATGAACCAGGGAAACAGAATAGATAATATTTAAGCAATTTCAAGACTGGAAGCTCTTATTTCTAAAAGTATACAATACCCTCAACCCTATGAACACATCTTACATGTTCTTTATAGTTTTTCATAATACAAACATAAACCTCAATGCATCTTTTATAGAAAAAGAGCTAAAAGCAATAGAAAAAGCAGTCCATGTTTGCTGTGTATGGAATACAGCAAGCATGTGGTAAAAAATGTACATGATTGGTAGAAACCAAACCTTATTATTTTGGTATACATACTGAATCATCATAAACAGACTATGCTCCCAGTAAAACTATGTAGTGGTAGTATTATGCAGTGAACCTGGTGCGATTGAATCTTACTGACAACAAACACACCAGCCTCTACAGCAGTGAGTAGGTGCATTTCAATCAGCTTTCCCTAATATGTATTTTGCAGTATTGCATCAGCAAAGCTTGATGGAATCTGCAAACTTCTAACAAACTCCCTAAAACTCGCAACAAGTTTTTACACTCATTTGCGTTGGTTTTTGGCTTTTGCAATAAAGGGTTGATTCTTGAAACGAAAGATGGAAACAGCTTTTTCAAATTAGCTCTGAAGAAGCAAATTTTTGTTGTTTTCTTTCTTTAGATTACGTACTATATACCATGGTACCAGGTTAGCACGAAAGAAAAAACAAAACTCAAAAAGACTAAATTTATGTATAAAGCCAAAGCCAAACAAGTTAGCTCCTGGATGTAGCAAAGGATCCCATTCCTGGCACAGATGAGTGGTAGAACAGAAAGGAGTTAAATGCATTTATTTTCTCAGGAAAAAAAATATTAACCTTTAAAATATTATAGTTTAGTACGCTTACTACTTTTAGGGAGGGAAAAATGTAATTTAGGTGTTGTCCTCGATTTTACTGTATAAAGAGGGCTGAATTGGATTTATCTTTCTCTAAAAATAGTAAGCGCACTAAACTACAATGAGTAAAAGGAAGATCATGTATTTTTTGAGAAAGTAAATGTGTTTAAATCATTTCTGTTTCATCACTCATCTTTGGTAATAATGAGTGATGCTCCATCTGTCCTGGAAATGGGATCGTACTCTACTTTCGAGAGCTAACCTTTTTCGCTTTGGATTTATACATAAATTTAGTCTTTTTGAGTTTTATATTTGGCTTTTGCTCTAACATTTTAGTATCTAGTGTATAATCTGAAGAAGGAAACAACTGAAATGCAGACACTGCTCTGAGCATGTCCAAAGATAACTTCAGATAAGCAGTTTAACAGAGAGAATATAACAAGCATCCAGTCTTCTTAGAAAGGTCATTATTTATTTAAGATGTAGTTTAGCATATTTTGACCATGTAAGATAAAAAAATAGGTACTTTTACTACCTTAAATAAATTATTTATGGTGACCTGAATGACTAACTGCTTGCACATGCACAAAGTGCTAATGGTACGGAGCTGGTAGTGACGGTCGTTGCTAGATTGCAGCCTCTACTTCCTGTTTACTACAGTCGTGCATGACAACGTAATATGATGGCGACATAGGATGCCTTTGAGGTGCTCGGTTAATTGGCAATCAAACCAAAGGGAAACCCCGCAAATTCGCATTTCCTATTTTTCGAACTTTTAAAAGTTTGCTTTAAACCTTATTTCATTTAAATGGTAAGACGGTTAATATGCAGTGTAATCCTGGAGACAAAAATAACTACATAAACTCGCAGAGTGATAAGTAAGTTGTTTGGATTTAGTTTTTGTTGTCACAATCTTGTTGTGAGTTAGCAAAAAAGAATGGGCAAAAAGTTCCGTTTTTAGCTGGTAGAGATGCATCCCTAGAGACTTGTAGTAGTTCTACAGTATTGCCTCGTTACATTAACTCAATTATAAATGTTAAAGGAGTGGATGAATGGATATGTTTTCAAGTTTCAAGGCACAGTGAATGAATTCCAGGAATGCGTATAATTTAAATTTAGCACCTAGCTAAAATAAATTTTCCCCAAATCTTCACAAAAAGATTAGATAATCTCAACATGGCTACCTTAAACATTCTGCCATTTTTAAGTTCAGCTATAAAGTCGACCTAGAAAATAACGTCATATAAATAATGTCAACATCATTTTAATTCTTACATCTTTTATTGCTATCTCAGACCTGTTCCCCTGGCTTTACCCAATGTGTAAAATGTTAGTTACTTGCTGTAAGATCATCTCCACAGGATCTATTCCTTCTTGCTTTTAGCTTGTCAGCTCAGTAGGTTTTATGGCATTACAGATGGACCAAAGGTATCTGTTTTATGCACTGGTGAATAAAACATTTTATGTCAGAGCTTCTATGTAACTGTTCCTCTCATATTCAGATGCAGCAGCAGTCATTTGATACAGAATTAGAGATGCTGAAATTGCCTGCAGTTTGGTCTCTGAATTAGAGACTGAAAAACTCCTCATCCTTAAAGTGAATTTATTACCAGTTATATCTCCTCTAGCTCATACAAAACAGCTTAAATGCATATATGAAGAACATTATCCTGATACGACCTGGGAACCCCTATAATTGGTTAAGGTTAATGTGTGTGCTTCTACAGTCAGATGTAGGCTTGCTGATTAACTGAAAACATTTCCTTTCTGAGTCAGTATATTCCCAGTGGCTCTCCTGCATTAGTGCAGGAATTGTCGGCTCATCGACATAGGATGCATAGTCACTGGGATGGGTGGGTTGTCCTTGGGAACTGAAAACTGCAGAAATTTATTTTTGCCTACACAATTCTTATTAATAGTTTTACTTGATTTTAAGGCCGCCTGAATGTCAATCAGGTGGCCTTCTTGTGCATATGTCCTGACGCTGCAGTGTTGTCCGCTGACATCTAATGCATTTCATAGATATGGATCTGTGTCAGTTCTATAATTTGCCTCCCAAATGGTGGAGTTTTAACACTTAGTTTGTGGAAGGAGCATAGCAAGCCTTGGCTTTTGACTTCACAATGACTGTTATTTGTCTGAGCCATCCTCCATGGAAAATCATGGCCCTTTTTCATTCTTTGTATTGCATCACAACAAATAAATAATCAAAAAGAGATTTTGTACAAAGACAAAAGTTTACATATTTATTGGGTACTCTCCTGCTAGTATGCTGAGTGTTCATTTCAGATTCTATAGCAGAAAGTGGATGCACCAGGCATCAGCAGAATTGTGTGGTGGGTGTAGGTGAGAGGGTGAGCTTTGATTCCTCCATTAAACAGGCTGTACTTAGAGGCAAGGAAAACTGCTGCGCCTGTAAAAGGGATGAAACAGACCAATCAATCCAAGCATTTGTTAAATATAATGTATGGAATAGAGGATCATGGGAATAAAACACTAAGAAATTTGGTGACAAAACATTTTTATGTTTTATATGTCTCCTATCATCATAAGTATAGGTTATGGACTACTTTGTGGTTTATTGAACCTCAAACCATTTTGTGCTGTTCTTTCCGGTAAACCAATGAAACCCAATACAAGACTGCTTGATCCAATTCCATTTTGTTGCTCTTAAACTTGATAGTCGGCTGGATCACCCAGCCTTCTGCAGAGGTTCATTATCTTTATCATAAGGCTGATGCAGAGAAATGCATTTGCAATCCTAATGAGCAAAAAGAAATGGTTTGACATGAGCTCCCTTTCAAAATATTGTCAACCTCTTTGTATGAAACAACATACCATGCCTTGGATAAATAGAATACTCATGCTTTAATTCTTTTCACATTTTATGTGCCACTTAAAGCACTAAATGTAAAGAAGAGCATGGAAACAAGATATTGCTTTTAAATGTTTTTTTTTTTTTTACTTGTAAATATTTAAATAATGCACACATTCAGTCTTTTTATTCTAATATTCTTAATTAACATCTGTAGCAACAACAGCGTCTCAGAGCTCACACAAGTGGCAAACACATTTCAGCTATATTATACAATTTTAGCATTACAGAGGGGCTGATCAGGGTTTTCCTGGATGATACCTATTTTCTGTTTTCTTAGATCTAAATTGCCCATTTAAAACTTTTTAAGTACAAGAAAATGCCACTGTAACTAGTAAGCTGTGTCAATTGGTGGTGGATATGGTTGTGGACCCAAATGCAGAGTAGGCAGAGATGAGTCCAAAAGCAAAATACAAAAAACCAAAAACAAGGAGGGAAAACACACATTAAGAGCAAAGAAAAAACAAGAACCCAGCAATAATAAACTGCAGAGGAGGTGTATATATGGGGGACAGAACAAAGAATGGGTTAATGAGCTGATATGGGGCAGTGTGGATAGAGGTAACTGGAAGGGAGCTAGGGGAAAGGAGACTGGCACAAAGGGGAAACAGAGAATTACTCAGAAATGCAACACAGCTTAATTATAACACACAATGGAAAAGAAACCAATGACCAACAAAACAGAATGACATAAATAACTGAAAATTCAAAAAGAAACTCAAAAAGATCAACGCGCTCTGGCACCTTTTGCTTCGCCTTGATGCGCGTCAACCATTGACTTTGCATGTAAACCAGCTGCTTCTGCTGCCTCTGGCGCGTACGGTCTGAACATAGCATTACAACAAAAGCATTATTTTGATCTGTAACAATTTTGGTTTATCATTTAATGCAAAGAGATATTTACCATTTTACCGGTCTAATATAAGAAGATCCACCTTTACAAATACAGGGTGAGGTAAATTAACTATCTCCAAGTCCTCCTTCAATAAGAATTAAATTTAATCTGTTATCTTTCCTGGATAATAGAAAAAACTAACACTGGAAGATTGTATCTATTTTTAAAACATCAGGTACATTTAATACATTTCCTGACACCCGAGGCCAGATTTATTCTTTGTGTTTAATGTGTGGACACATTCACATGCCTGATGAGGACTGTGTCCTGATGCGTTTATCATTAACAAACGCCCTCCGTGTAACTAAGGGACATTTTGCTGCTCACCATCTGGCTGCTAATTTAATTCTTTACTTGTCCTTATGCATGTTCACCATTTAGTCAGAGAACAAAAGGCTTTAATGAGCGAGGCTAATGTTAAAACTCTGTCCTTAGTGTGTTTAACAGCCTAAATCACTAGTATATCAACAATTACTCTTTTTCTCTTTGCATTCTCCTTCTAGGATTCCCTCATCCTGGAGAAAAGCGATATGCACCACCCAGTCTGCTCCTTCCAAGATGACTTCCAAGAGTTTGAGATGATTGATGATGAAGATGAGGATGATGGAGAGGAAGAAGAGGAAGAGATTGACCCCGATGGACCACCGTCTCCCTCTGCATCCCCTCCTCCCTCACCCACCCTAGGGACGCTGAAGAGCAGACCCACAACACTAAACCTCACCACTGCTGTTTCACAGGTTTGCAGATTGAGTATCTAAGCGCTCTTTGTATTTGCCTCATGAATCCATATCTAACCAAAAATCTCTTTCACTAGGATTCGCTGAACAACAACAGCAGTCTGTCCCCAAAAAAAGGAAGCTGGCAAGACTCTTTACGCAATCCCACTTCACAAGGTGACATAGTCACATTATGTATATAGAAGAGTTGCATATGCTATAAAAATATAGCACTAAAATAAAAAAACACAAATCATCGCTAATACCGAGTTTTTACTGAATTGACAGGATGCTTAGAATGCAATAGACAGAAGTATGCTTCACAAAACATAGCAGAATAAAGATGTGAATCTGAGTACGTAAAACTGCAAATGTTTTCAACCAATCCCATCAGGGATTCTTTATTTTTTGTATATTTTAATGGGTCAAACATTTAACGTGGTATTTATTAATAGGTCTGAAGGTTTTTCACCTTACAGTCACAGCATGTTGTGCCAGATATGCTTACAAAAATCGGAAAATGCATTCATGTAGAATTGGGGATGATTTGATATCTATAGCAGTTAAACTACATGCCAGATATTTTTGTTCAGAAATCACCATTTATTTGTAGTTATTTTAAGATATCTAAGATTAGATATATATGAAAGCTAGTGGTATTTTGTCATCATTATTTGAAAGTTACCAAAATCAGTATATGTATATATACCTTTTATATATATATATATATATATATATACATACCTGTAAAGGTATATGTATATGCTGAGTAGGTGTAGAGAGTAATAACAGCATTTCATCTCAATTATATGTTCTCTGATATCCCCTGGCTGGGTTCAGGAAATATAAAGGACCAACATCAATTTAGACAGTGAATTGAGGACTCAAGAGGGCATTTAAAGATGTTTCCTCTGCCATCTCTTTAAAGAAATTACTGTGAAGAGTGGTAAAAGCTTCAAGGAGACCTTCAAAATGTCAACTTTTTTGTTTGATGTCATGAAATTTAATGCCCAGTCAATTCTTTCCTATACTGACAATGTTCTGATGTTCTGACAACATTACACAGACAGGCAGCATAAACAGCCAATACAAAACAGCTTCCCTTGATGTCAATCACTGCCCAGCTACTTCGATTTATGATAAACATCAATATATATCTATTAATACACCACGCAAACACCTTAGGTAAAGCTTGAGTCTTAATAATTTTAATAACAACACTGCTGTAAAGATAAATAAGTCTGGCTCAGTCAATTATTTATTAAGAATGCAGTATGATTGAATAGACATAGTACATGTAAAAATATCGTTTAACTCCTGATCTTTCGATGGCTTTGAACTCTGCAGCGAAATTAAAAAGCTGTCATACATCCAGGTCGTCTGTCTCCAACCCACTCATGCTTGGAGGATGGAAGCCATGTGATAGGCCAGTGTAGAGCCTCGCCAATGTCCCAGGCTCCAGGGCCACAGAGCAAAGGTACTCCTCCAAAACAAGCAGGGGAGGGCGGGAACCCCCAGTGTCCTCATAGGCCCCTCCTCTGCGACATGGAGGGCAACAGACGGGAAAGGCCCGAATATGGTAACATGAAGGCCAGCCCAGCAAGCTTGGATTTCATTCCCATTCACATCAGCGTGATCTTGTGCTGTGTTGTGGATTTGCTTATAACTTACATGTCCAATCAACAACATTGTGCATTTAATCGATGCTTGCTTACATTTTGTTTTGTACTGAATATTAATTAATTTAAAATGAATACCACTCTTTATTTCTGTCTTGCATGGTCAAGGCCTTGTGCAAATGACAAGGATGAATTGAAAACTGGATTTCTTTTTCAAATTTTATTAACACATCTATGTCAAAGCATTCTGCATTTTTTTAGACTGCATACCAGATGAAAAGCTAAAAACTGTAATTAGCCTGTCTCCCCTCAACATGTGCATGCGTCCAAACACTTTCTGCCTTTAAAGGCACCACTTCTAAAACAACTTTCACAAAGGTGGGACTTAGATCCATACATGGCCATGCAAAGATGAGACGTTCAACCATTGCTTTGGGTGACTTTGATATACAAAACCACCAGTACGATTTTTTAACTGGTTGACATCCTTTATTCTTTGTAAGGACTCATTAGGATGCTGGGGCTTCCTTATCCTGGCAGATTCTGGTTTTTCATGTGCACAGGACAGCTGAGTATAGGACGTTTTTGAATCCTTCCTCTGTAGAACCTGTTTTCAAATTGTACCAATGAACACAGATGTAGTTTTGTGCCCCAATAATAGACCACAAAAAAACTTTTCAGTTTTAACCAAAAAAAACCTTGTCATATGCACAGGGCAGGAATTTCTCTGTCTCGGTTTCCTAGGCTTGTCCACCTGTATTCCCAATTCTTAATCATCAACTTCATTGTGGTTGTACAGTAGAGTGTTGTGTTTTTGGTGTTTACCCTGAAAGCTTCCTCTGTGGTTTTTATCTTCACAGGATCATTTGGTCAGCACAGGTCCCACCCATGCCCTTCAGAGTTCACTGAGTCAAAGTCAGACCTGTCAGTCCAGACAGCCAGAGTGCCCTCCATTGATGAACACTCCCAGTGTTCAGACACAGAGGTGGACCACGACCTCAATAGTGACCACAATCATAAACACTTGAGCCGGCGAGCCACAGACACGTACACAATCACCAGTGAGTCTGGGATGCAACCAGAAAATGATCCAGACCCAGATGGAACCAGTCATTGTTTGTCATCGACGGCTCCCATGGGAGCAAACGAGGGCTCCGATACCCCTTTGTCTGATGAAGAGCTGGAGAAGGAATTTGAGGTGGAGTTCATATACAAGGAGCAATGTGACATGACCTGCAAGGAGAATCAGTCAGTTTATGTGGAATTCCCCTCAATTGAGCCCTCGGACGCATTGTCTTTCTCTAGCTTTCAATCATCAAGTCGCTCTGAAGCTCCAGACCAGGCCAACAGTTCAGAATCTCCAACAGCTTCCTCTGTTGAGCCAGCAGCTAACGATTCGACCTCTCCATCCTCAGACCCAGGGATAGCAGACATGAACCAACAGGGTTATGTGACATCAGACCAGGACAAGGACCTTAGCTCTCCAGGATCGGATTCTGACGTTGAAGGGGAGCTTGAAGCAGCATTTGCCTCTGGTGGTCCTGCAGTTTCCAACATGATCTCCTCTATCTCAGAAACAGAGTTGGACTTAACTAGTGATGAAAGCAGCAGCGGGCGCTCATCTCACCTCACCAACTCGATCGAGGAGGCCAGCTCACCAACATCAGACCAGGAACTGGACCCAGATACTGAGTTAGAACAAGACAGTGGGATTGTTGGCCTGAAAGCATCTCTGCTTCTGGGCCAGCGTGACCCAATTAAAGAAGACTCTCTTCTACCTTCTCCATCCCCTAATCCCTCACCGACTATTGCTACACCTTCACCTGTTGACTCCTCCGTCTTTCCTCCTGAGTCCTACGATGACGGTCAGGCTCTGATGGGGTTGCAGAATGTGGATGACGAGCTGGCTTGTGAGCACCATGCCGACCCAGATGAGACTCTCCCTCCAGCTCAGAGGTGTGATGACCATTTGTCCAGACCAATGGTTCTTGAAATAGAACCAGACCACAGCCTAGAGAGTTTCAAACGTTCCTTCTACCTACCAGTGGGTCCCAGACTAATGCCATGTGCAGATGAATATGATGAAACAAGTGAGGGAGAGTCTGAGTCAGAAAGTGAAGACGACCTAAGCGAGAACTCAGACTCCCCATGGCTTCTTAGCAACTTAGTCAACCGGATGATATCAGAGGGCTCATATCCAATTAGTTGCCCTGAGGAGTGCTTTAGGAGGAAGGCCTCTATGTCAGATACCATCTCACCATCTTCCGACATTGGAGATGGAGATGATTTTAATGACGAGAGCCAGGATAAAAAATTGGACATGGGGCAAACACAGGGAGGTGAAACAGAAGGCAAAGGGTACAGAAAAGATGGGATGGAGCCAGGTGAAAGTTCTCATCTCTCTATGACCAATCCCAATGTTGGAAGTTTAAGCCCGAAGATTTTGGACTGCCGAGCAAACAGTGAGAAGGAAACCACAGATTTGAACTCCTTGTATGCCAATAGATATTGTGACAAAAACTCCACAGAGAAATTATCCAAGAACACTGGGAGTCTAGTGGAAGAAGAACCTAACAATGACTTGATGATGCTGGAAGGCAGAAGGGATTTGGACTCACCAAGCCTCAGTGAAAGTGTGATCAGTGACAAAGATGAGGGGCGGGAAACTGAACCCAGGCCAACAAGTCGTTCATCGGCATCTCTGGAGCGCATCACGGAGGTCAAAAACAGTCTGACTCTTGACATACCAACTGCTCAAACGAACCGCTGCTTTAGCCTCACCTACTCCACTGATAATGATGAAGAGGAGGACAATGGGGACTCTTATCCTTTCCTTGACAGCTCACCACCCATTGACTCAAGTGTGCACAGTCATCCCTTACCTGACCATGACCACCCACTGTGTGAGAAAGACCTGATTATTAGGCAGCCACACGAAGATGAAGGACTGGCTTATGACTCTATGAAGTACACATTAGTGGTGGATGAGAACACAACGCTGGAACTAGTTAGCCTCCGGAGGTAGGCCATTATTTCAAAAAAGCTGATAAAACAGAGCCAAGTGTCAAACCTCTTGCTGTGTCAACATTTTGACTTTCCTGGTTTGTTCTTTTAGGTGCACATCAGTTTTGAGTGATGACAGTGAGCTGTCAACTTTATGTGATGAGGAGCCGTTGAGGACTGGAAACATGGGCTACAGGAATGACGATGAGGAGGTCAGACCAGAACTTCTGAGCTCGTCTGAAGACTCCTCCCCTGAGGCTGATCTTCCATTTTCAAAGAAGTTCCTAAACGTGTTTGTCAACAGCACATCCCGCTCCTCAAGTAAGCGACGCAAAAAAAAAAAAAGTTTCATTAGATGATTAAATATAGCAATTTAGATTTTCTTAAAAATATACTAAAAAAAAAATATATATATATATATATATATATATATATATATATAAAATTTGAGATCTGGCTTAACAGAACACAGCAGACAGATGGAAACACTGAAGTCGGATTATTTTCAAACTAAAGAATCTCAGTTGGGTTTAGCAGGCCAATGTCAGGATAAAACATGAATATGTGACCTAAATATGCCTGCCAGCAGCCTGATACCCAGTCAGTTAATATCGCCTCCTCAAAGATTAATCCATGAGTTTCGGTGAATTTTTTATGTCTCTAATTAGCATGATTAGCATCCTGCAAAGCACATTATGGCTGGTTTTATTTGGTTAATGATTGTAAAAAGAATAGACATCTTTTAGTAATGCAAAAGCCTGCAAGTTTCAATCAGGACTGACCCAGATACGTTTGTTTAGGAAATATTTTCTTATGTCAAAACTGATACTAATAAAAATCCCATTTTGCAATGCTGAAATAAAACATACTTTATGTAATTTTGTTATAACACCAACAACCTAATGACTGTCAAGCTAAATCTCACAAGATTTGTTTTGGCTATAACATATTTGGCTATATTATACTGAATCTTTATGAATCTTCCCTGTTTGTAGTCTATTTTCACTGTATACTGTTTATATAAAACACCTGCAGATACTGAGTGTATTTCATTATTTCTTGATTTAGTAACTCCTACTGGGAAGGTACCTTATTGGTGCTAAGCCTAAGAGAAAACAAACGTAATATAGAATATATTTTACCCTTAATGCATTTATGGACAGAAACATATTAAAAACAGCTTATTTGGTTGCAAAGGGATGATTTTGTTAAACTGGAAAATTCAGAAGCCAAAATATTTTTCTATTGAAACATGGTAATGTGAAACGTTCAATCTTTTAATTATGGAATGGACACGAAACTTGACATCAAGGCTATATTCGAAAACATTTGGGAGCTGGTACTTTAATATTTGTTGTCACTTGTTGACACAATATTGTCTGGACATTTTGATTATATCAAACCTGGATAAAGGGAGAATTAGCTGTGTATAAAAAAGTAGCACCATGTTCTAATTCCCTCCTTTTTTTGTGGTGTCTGCTATGTATATGTCTTCATTAATAGTTTATTGTTTTATATTTGTTAAATCTGGACCTAGGTGTATTATTTATTTTTTAAATTGCTAATTTAATTTTGAATAACAAAATATATACATATCTTTCCCCTCAAAGAGGGAAGGGAGAAAAAAAAAATCAGAGGCACACATATCATGTCCCAAACACCACAGTGACTACCTGTATCTCTTTATATAGGCCCACTGACTGATTACAAGGTTGTGTTCACCTGTGAAGCTAATTAGTGGACACACTTTGGTTTAACCTGTCCCGTTGGTCTCATTTTTTTCAGTCTTTTTTTAAATTATCATTTTTGTCCAGGCCTGTTTCATGAGTTTTTTTTTAAATCTCATTCTGTTGAAACAATGTCTGACTTTCTTCACTTTCTTATAATTGTTAATGTATTACTACTTTTGTCAGATTCAAGTTGATTTCTGTGACCATTGTGGGTTTTTCTTTCAATAAACAAGGGGTACTTGCGTTTTTATACAACACTTCATTAGTAGTGTAAAGTAGGCCAGAAAACTGTAAAACCTTTAAAATTATTATGCCTGGATAATCTCTTTTACATATTACAGCAAAGAGGACCGAAAATGAAATGTTATGTGTACACATTTTTAATGTTAGTAGCAAATATGGACTCCAGAGAGATTAAAGCAGGAGTAGGGAGTTCAGAGTGATATGGAAAGTGATTCCTCCCGATCAGGGATGTTTCCTGGAGTAAATAGCTTCCCTGGTGATCTGTTTAAGTGCAGTAGAAATGAGCTATAAACTAAACTCTAAGAAATATGCAGAACAGCTTTAGATTTGGCCGGGAACAGAAAATAACAATCACATGTAAACCAAAATGAGTCACAGCCACAAGGATCCTGCAAAGAGCAATTATGTTTCCTAACTCAGTACCTAACGAATTGTGTCCTTTGCAACTCGTTTCTGTCTCACATGTAGGCACAGAATCCTTTGGACTTTTCTCATGTACCATCAATGGAGAGGAGCGAGACCAGACTCACAGAGCGGTTTACAGGTAAACCTTTAACATTCTTTTTTTAGCAACCAGACAAGAGAATGAATAAAGTATTATCTTCAGTGCTTACACCCTGTTGGTGTCCTTCAACATCCTTCAACATTTTTGGAAAGACAGCAGATGTAACGGTTATTTGTAGAACTGGACGCTGCAGGATGGCTGACCGTAATGAGATCAATCATCTCATTGAAACACAATGAAAAACAGCCTTCACTGTGTACACATCCATAAAGCTTCATCCTCTTTTGAAAGCTGTGCAGAGGTGTTTTTTCCCTTCTCCTCTGTCTCCATGTTTCCCTTTGACGATATCTTATCAGAGGAAATCCAGCATTAACAACAACATGATTTCCCTTCTTTTTTCTGCTTCTGCTTTGTCCAGATTCATTCCTAGACACGAGGACGAACTGGAGCTGGATGTGGATGATCCTTTATATGTGGAGGAAGAAGAGGATGACTATTGGTACAGAGGATATAACATGAGAACTGGAGAAAAAGGAATCTTTCCTGCCTTTTATGCCCATGAGGTCATTGGTCAGTCCAAGGAGCTGCTGGGTGAGTGATGACATGGGTCCACTATTTTAACATCTCATTAAACTTAGGAATGCTAAAACCCGGACACATTCCTGTCCCCTTCATTCAGGCCTGAAAAGGAATCCAGGGTGGATAGAGACCTTCAATGTTCAGTTTTTGGGTTCTGTTGAGGTACCTTATCACCAAGGCAACGGCATTCTCTGTGCCGCCATGCAAAAGGTAAGACAATAAATATATAAAAATAAAGCAAGCATGTTGTATATTATTACAGTATATTACACTCCCATCGTTGTTTGGATGAATGATCTTCCACATAAGACTTAATTTAGATTGGTTGATCATTCATTTGTTGAGGTTTAGGCCCCTCCTGAAGCTTAAAGTCTCTTACCAAACTGGGATGGATATAAAAGCTACACTGAAAGGCCTTCTAGACGCCCTTTCTAGTGCAATAACTTACATTATGGACAGTGTTAAAAGCTGGGTTCATACCAGGAAATTTGTAAAATAAAATGATTTAAACAAATTTAAATATAGACCTTTGCTTATTTCTGATTTTATACAGGGTTTCCGCGGGTCATTAAAAGTCATTAGTCATTAAATTATTATTTTTTAAATTAAGGCTTTAATTGGCATTAAAATACATTTAATATGATTACCGTGGCATTTAAAATGCTTTATTTGAAAAAAAAAGAAAAAAAAAAACATTTAAAAAAACAAATCAGATATAACTGGTTCCACATGTTTGCGTTAAACTGCTTTTGGTTGAGCGTAAAGCCGTATGTTCGGAAAAGAAGCTTGAGGAGGAGAAAAAGCTAGAGAATGGCAAAATAAAAATTTCAATAAAAGTGGCTGGAAAACGAGGAATTCGGGACAATGCTGCAGCCTGTTGACGTTAAAGATGACAAAAGATTTTGCCATGTTATATATATATAGGGCATTAAAATTATTTCTAAGAGCATTAAAGGAGCATTAAAAAGCATTAAATTAGAGTTACTCATTCCTCTATAAACCTCCATCTTGGAGGAAAAAAGCAAAAAAAAAACAAGATGAAGCTTTATCATCAAACCGCCAAATCAATTTAACATTGTCTCTGCTGATCATGAGCTTGTGTAAACATCTGACCAACCCTGTACTCTCAATGAACACGTCTCTCAAACATGCCCTTACACATGAACACACTCTCTGTTGATTAGATTGCAATGTCGCGGAAACGGACGGTACACGTGCGACCTCCATCTCTGTGTGAACTGGAGATCAGCTTACAAGGGGTTAAACTCATCATGAGCTTGGAGGACGAATATGACGCCCTTGATGAGGTACAAGTGAATGAAATCAGTTTTGTACAGAGTCCTTTTACCTCCCTGATTCATCTACAATCTAATCTCTGTCCATCTATCTCTCAAGTACGACAGATGTAGCCACTTCTTCCAGATGAAGAACATTTCGTTCTGTGGATGCCATCCAAAGAACAACTGGTAAACAAAGCCCGCCACTCCTATGCCCTCCTGTCATGACTGCCAGCTTTAACATCTGACTGATTGCATTTTATTGCTTATATTTCTCTGCAGCTACTTTGGTTTCATCACAAAGCATCCGATGCTGAACAGATTTGCTTGCCATGTGTTTGTATCCCAGGAATCAATGCGGCCTGTGGCTGAGTGTGTTGGGTACGTCCAGAATAATAGAACAATAATCGATTCAAACTGTAACCAGTGGAGAGTATGAATGTTTTTGTCTGTTATTTTAAAAAAATAGAAGAAATGCCTTTTTCATCACCTCTATTATCCAAAAGATTCCATAAAATAAGTTCAGTATCATTATTTTCTATTAGAATGTGCACTCAGACAGAAGTTAATATGGTTCCTATGCTTCAAACAGATATTTCCTCTATTCTAAGGTACTGGCATAAATGCAACTATAGAATTTTTCCCCTCTAGCTTTCTTTTGTCTTTGCTTTTCTTCATTCATTTAAAACAACAAGAGTAGATTAAAAAAAAGTATTTTTTCAAATAAGAATTGTATTTATTACTTGAAACAGCCCGCTTTTTGGAAGCAACAAGTATCTGATAAGTTTGACCAATTTATTTATTTTATTTTCCCTTTTGTTAAAGTTTTACTCATTAATACCATTGCCAGCATGGAGGGTAACCATTGCAAATATTACATCTGTTACTGCAGCATTAACATCTTCTGAAAAACACGCAAAATTAGCATTATCGTCTTGTAGATATATACAGTATATATCTAGCTGTTTTTCTGGTAGTACTGTACCCATATTTCCCTAAATCCCCTCTGGCTGTTAATAAGCTTGAAGCTCAGTTATTTTTGGAGGCTATCTTTGTCATTTCAATGAATCACTCATTAGAGTGGATCATTCAGAATCAACAGTTCCATTCATCTGCCTCTTTCACATCTCCAGCACACATCTGAATAACCTAACTTTTTGTGTTTTTGTGTTTTATCCATGGATAATCTTAAAAGGGATTCATTAATTTGCTTTTCCCTTCATATTTTATGCCAGCATCTAGTTGCCTCCTTTAATCCTTTAGTGTCTATGCTCCTTTTTTTTTTTTTAAACTTTCCCCCTTTGGATTGTTGGGTAAGGATTTTCTCATAATACTGATATTTTTGTAATACCCACATTTAATCTGCCAATTGCCGCAGAATATTTCCTATCTTGGTTAAAGAGTGGTGGCTAGCTGAGGGATTTCATTTCTCTTCTACATCTACATATACAGCACTTGCCGGTTGTGCAAATAACATAAAAGTCAGTGTCCTAGAACTCATCGCATTTATTCATTTAAGGTAATACTACTTAAATACATCTTATGCCTGATTTTTTCTTATTAGTTTCTTGAAAAGCTTCATTATTTATTTTTTTAATCAAAGGGATGGACTTGCTAATGTGCTTTGAATATTTTTTCTTCTTCTTTATAACCAAAGAAGGCTTGAGCTTCTGTTTGTAAACTGATAGAAAACAGTTTTTTCCAGGATCTTCTGCTAGAGAGTAAAAGTGAAGTTTCTGCTATTACAGCAAATATGACACAAGTTAGGTAGAGAACACAGAGCACATGTAAAAAAGTGGTCTTGGCAGATGGGAGTTTTTGAATGCATTGTTCGGGAAAAAAAACCTGCACATTGACCTTAACACATGATCAACACAGTGAAACCGTGAGGTAACAGCACTGGGTGATAGTGATGTGGGTCGGATTTCAGGGCCCATAGAAGAAAGCTAGATACTAAGCAATTAGGAAGTAAATAAAATACATGACAGCGTTTGGTTGAAACTTGATGTGAAAAACTTTAATGAGTACAGATGCGGCATATATTCACTGAAACAACTATTTAAGCCAAGATTTGTCTTTTTTATGTTATTTCGTTCATTACTAGGCTGTTACTGCACTTAGATTTCATAACAAAAAGCTGTTCTATTGTTTTTTTCTCTGTTCGATTTATTTGACTCCTCCAGGTGCTAACTTTAAGACAATATTTTTCCAGCAAACAAATACAACAAAACTAAATTAATTTAAACAAATGCTGTCATGTTTTGCATCAGACATTGAAATAAACATTCAAGATATCAACAAAAATAAAATATCCTAGATGTAATAAGGGATTTTGTTTCCTCTCATTCTGAAAAGCAAACACCCAGTCAGAGTATTCTGTCACTGCAAAATGATCTCAAAGCTGTTATTAAAGATCAAAATAGAGAAGAGGTCCCTTTTCACCCCACCCTAATTCAAGGTTTGCAGGAGGTGATAAGTTAAATGCTAACAGGATTTGTCACATTTTCCTTATCCATTGTAGCTTTTGAACGATATTTATTGATACAATTACTTGCTCTTTGGCCCTCAGACCTCGGCAGGGAACATCAGGCTGAATTTTGATTGATATGCATGAACGGGAGTAAAGAAGTTTTCCCCCAGGCCTGAAACTGGTGGTGGAGTGAAGATAGATGAAGTTGGTCAGTCTGTAGAAAGCTGGTTAGCGAGACGGTCTGCTGAGCTTTATGTGGAGATCCAGTGGATTGCATGAGCTGATACTAGAGCTTCACTCAGGGACCTGGAAGATGGAAGTCCAGTTGGAAGTCAAGATGGAAGTCCAGTCACACTTCGTGGATGCGCTATCCACCGCCTGCGCACAGGAGCAGACCAGTTGTGGATCGAAGGCCTTTAAAGATGAACTTAGGATGCTGATTGGCTTTCGTGGAGGCGTGGTTAAAAGCTGATTGGCTGTGTCGTAGGTGGATGAAGGCGAGTAGTTTGTTTATTCAGTTAAACTCCCACCTAGGCTCCATAAGATGCAGACATATATCACTGTCTGCGGGGATATTTAGAGACATTCTTACTTCGTTATATCTGCTGACTTCTCCTTCTGCTTTTTATGTGTACAATCACAAAATCTAAAACTAGGGAGGGTTTGTATTCATTATTTTATTTTATTACCTGGATATTAATTTGGAAGCATCAAGAAGATAAAACAAAGTATAGCATGTATTAGTTCCTATGTCTGTTTTGTATTTATTTATTTGTTTTCTCTGCAGTCGGGCCTTTCAAGAGTACTACCAAGAACACCTGGAGTATGCCTGCCCCACTGAAGACATCTACCTGGAGTAGGAGGAGTTCATTCGATGACTCTTTTCCTCTACAGCCTGTGTACATTGGTTGTTTTCCACCAGAGGACACTGTCAGTCTTTCTTTACTTTTCTTTTCTTCCCACCAGGATCATTGTAAAATATTTTTCTGCATCCTTCTCAAACTGGGATCCTCATTTCTACAGTAAGCTATTCAACCCTGTTTTCCCTCAACTTCCCTTCTCTCGATGCATTTATTGCCTGTTTCTTTTACTGTTTTTTTCTATGATATAAAACTAAAAAGCTGAGCACTTGTTTATTTAAAAAAAAGAATCCTGTTTTGAAATGAAAATCTTTGACCTACTAAGGCTGAATCACCTCTCAATGCATGGCTGGTAGGGTTGCTGCACAACAACAAATACAAATATCCAAGTGAATGACAAGCAGCTCAACGGTATCATAGGGAAAGGTGTAGAAACAAAAGGGGTGTAAATATCTGTTTTTGATGTTTAAACAGCTACCTTGCTTTGTACTGAAGATGTTGGAGTTAACTAGAGAAAGTTAGCGGCCCTTTTATTCAACCAAGCTCCCCACACGTCTCGTACAAGATAAAGTGTGTGTTGTAAATACATGTATAGAAAGTAGACTTACATTGCTTCATTGAGTCTGATTTGGAAAAACTGTTGGGACTGATTTTGCTCTAGACTTTTGATGTAGGTGGAAAGAAAATGACTCCTTCTGACAGGAGGTGAGACACCAGAAGTAAAAGGGGAATAAGTTCGGAAATGTTGACTTGGAATCAACTTTTAACGCTATTTTTTCCCCCACTCATCATGACAGCAAATAAAGCAAAGTCACCCTCTTTACATTACATCCAATAACTCAATCAATCAATCAATCTTTAGCAAATCTGAAGTATTGATTTTCTCCTCAATTCCAACCTAATAGCCGTGAACACTTTTTTAAACTTTCACTACAAATCTAGAGGCCCAAAAGCACCACAATTGAATAAATAAATAATTTTGTGAATATTTATATATGAATTCATAAAATTGATTAATCTAAGATGATTACAATGTTTCAGTTGATTTGTAATTATAATTTTATTAAATTTTATATAAACAAATTTGTTGCCCAGCTCACATGTCATGAATTTAAATAATCTTGTTACTAGGGCTGCAACTAACTATTATTTTGCTTATCGATTAATCTGTCCATTATTATTTTCGATTAATCGATTAATAATCGGATAGCAAAAGGTCCTTTACAGAAGATTTTTTTTACAGATTTAAACCAGTTGAAACTAAAACTTTACTATTTGAGGAGTTCTGGATAGAGTATATTGACAGATATTGAAAGATGCAAAATATTTATTAATTGTTTTCTACAGTTTTCATCTAATTACTGCTCTGATTGGGTTGCTCTGTCAGCTAAATGCATGTTTTAGAGTCTCTATACTCTATTTAATGATTAAGCGATTACTAAATTAGTTGATGGTTATTTAAAGTAATCACGATTAATCCGATTAATTGTTTCAGCCCTACTTGTTACCTTTCCTATCAAAGTCTTTACTACAGTAAAGATAATCATTCTGCAGTTGGGTTCTAACAGTTAATTGCTTAAATGTTTCACATTATTTGATGAGCCACAAAAAGGGCTTATATTTCTACTGTTTATTTTTTTATATTCTATTTATAGATGAATATTAAAGAATTTATATTATTATAATATAATTTTCAGTAATTTTTTATTTGAATTATTTGAATACTTAAATTTAGAAATATTTCATAATTTAATCAATAAATTATTAACATTAATTGAATATTGAATATTAATTGGTTGATTTAATGCATTAGTTAAATCATATGAATGCATATTTTAAAAATGCATTTAACTGGCTTTTTTTTTGAGCAAACAAAATACTTATTTATTTGATGGTGGCCTTTTGAGCTCAGATACTAGATCATGCAAGTTAAATTCACAAAACCTGCTTTGCTGCAGAGAGCCCCCTCCCCTGACAAGCCATTTTCTCAAAGTTAGGATGGATTTATTTTGGCTTTAGGTGATGCAATGACCCATATTTTGTTCAGTTTTTTTAAACTTCTGAAAAATAAACTTATCCAAACAGTAGCTGCATGTCAGTAACACTGTGAACTGCTAATGCTTGGTCCAGATATCACAGTGAGATTTAGTCTTTTAATAGAGGTTTTAAGGGATTTTTTTTATAGTGGGTCAAACTACAAAATAAAAGCCATTACCCCAACATTCATGACATGCTGTTTGGCTTGTTATAAATTTAAATATTGCATTCTGTGGGTGTTAGAAAATAAGTTTTCAGAAAGGAGAAGAAAGAGGCTATTCTTAAAAGAAAACTGCAGTTATCTGTTGTTTGAAACTCAGACTTCCAGCTTCAAACATCTAGCTCTTGTTATCTTAGCCAGGTATTTGCGTCTTTCTCCGCTACTTTCATTCTTAATCAAAAACACACTCCATCTGCAGGATTTGAGTGGTAAAAGGTTAACGAGGCAGTAGGGAGGGTTTTATCTACATATATATACATATATATATATACACATCTGTCAGTTAGGTCATGTACATACAATAGAAAATCTAAGTGCTGTGTCCTTTATGTTGAGTATGTTAAAAAAAATAAATATCTAAAATGATTGAAAAAAATCATTATGAAAAAACCCTGTAAAACAAAGGAGACATCTATGCGATTTGTATGTCACATAGATGTAGATCTATGTGATCTGCAATAGTTTAATTTGAATGTCTAATTTTTTCCCACTCAGGTGGACTTTTGCTGCTGGCTTCAGCGGTAAATTTAGGGCACATTAGTGAGCTATGGCGCTAAAAGGTTAACGTCTTAATGCTGTTATAGAGTAAAACCCACTCAGACGCTACTTGAAAATCATCCATGTCGCGTCTAGCCAGTTGCAACCATTGCCTCAGAGCAACAACAGCTTAATCCATCTCCGATATATGTATCTACTTGCTTCCGACTATGTTTTTCTATCTTGTTCGAGCCGAATTAAAAAACCCTGTCTTTTAAAGCAGCTTCACAGACACAGCCTTTGAGGATGGTCTTGTCCCATATAGCCACTGAGAAATACAGTTAAACCAAACTTTTGACTTTAATACTTCAACAAGATCCATAACTAGAGCAAAACATTATGTGAAAAAGCCAACATATCCTATCTTGTATCTTTAAAAAAAACAAGGACTTGTAAAATTCAAGGAAAATTGAGAAAAACTGCAAAATAAAATGATAAAAAAAAATCACTATGCCTTGTCATGGGTTTGGTCTTATGAATAAAATATATGCTTGATGTCTGAAGTTTTGTTTCTTGTCTTTATTAAGCTTGCAAATGATTTCACATTTTGTTTTGTGTATGAAAATTGAAGTGAAAGTTTTTTTTTTGTTGTACAAATACTCAAGTTAGCGAACATACAGTACGAGAAGAGGTAATTCTTAATAAAAAGGAAATATCCTCATTGAGGAAAATGTTCTTATATCCCTTTTTCAGTAGCAAGAAGATAAATTACCAAAGCAGATAATAAGTGCAATGTTTCAAAACACTGATGGTATTAATGTACCTTCAGATTTAAGGATAAATTTAGTGCAGTATTTCCCCCACCTTATCCTCACAAACATTAACAATGGCAGCAGCTGGGTTTGGGGCTACATTCAGGACTACAGCAGGGCTCAAGGTTCGGGTTCACACCCTTTGATATCTGGCTTTCTCCAAACACCATGGTAGCCTCAAACTGTGCCTTGACTTTCTCTATCTGTGCCAGCACAGCTTGGATGTCAGGTCTTTCCTCCAGCGGGAGAGGGTATCGCTCTGAGGGGTCGGCCTCCAGGTCAAAAATGAGAGGTGGGTTGTGGGCCTTGAGGACAGCGATCCCGGGACAGTCAGGATCAGGGGTGGTAGCACTGTGGGTGGCACCTGGTGAAAAAGAAACAAGAGGTTTAAGATAAACCCCACTTTGACTGTAGGCATCTTTCTATCCACTTTCTCCTCAACAAATAGCAAAAATAAATCTGATATAGTGAAATATTTTGTCATTTTACAATTGAGATTTATATATATTTTTTTTCATTTTAGTGGAACCTTGTGGCACACAAACAAAATATGACTAAAAAGTGAGAAAAAAGGATTAATGCAATTTCTTCCGCAGAAAATAATCTAATCTGTTGATCAGTTCCCTTGAGTCTGAGATCCCTTTTTCTGCAAAAGCTGTGCTGAGTCTTGATGCGTGTCTCCCAGGTCTTTTGTATTTATCTGTATGTAACTTAGCAAATCTCACAGTGTATTCTCATTATCAGTTCGTACGAAATCGTACGAAAAGTTAGGCACCGTAATTTCGTACGTTTTGGACGTTTTTTTCGTTGTATTTTTACGTCTTGCCTCGAGACAAGATATCCTTGCGCATGCGCATCTTACGCACCATTCAATAACAAAGAATTTAACATACAATTAACCCTAACCCTGACCCTAACCCTAAGATACAAAACAGCAAGCAACCTAGTGAGAGACATTAAGAAGTAATTATTGCACTGTTTTTCCCAGTTTTACGTCCGTCGGCGGATCTGCTTTTTTCGTCTGTCTGGCTGCGCATGCGCACTGATATGTTTTTTCGAGGAAAAACGTCAAAAACGTACGAAATACTGTGCATAACTTTTCGTACGATTTCATACGAACTGATAATGAGAATATGTTGAATCTCACCAGAGGCCTGTTTCATCAAACTAAGATAAAACAGCATCAACCTCATTTTCTGTATATTCTGGCTTAATTAAGGATCAACTCAGTTTCATAATAGCTGCTCCAGATGAGGCTAACAGCCAGGCTTAGTTAATACTGGAGCCTTACCTGTTCTGTCAACGATTCAGCGATCAGATACTAATGAGATTAACACTGATTTTCTCAGGTGTTCAAACACTTATTTGCAGCTGTATCATACAAATAAATAGTTACAAAATCATAAATTGTGATTTCTGGATTTTTGTTTTATTTTTTAGATATTTTAGATGTTTGCTCTATTTCAGACCCTCCATTATTTCAAAGTGGGAGAACTTGCAAAATAGCACGATGTTCAAATACTTATTTTCCGACTGCATGCATGCATGCATGCAGTGCATACATAAATATCAATGTGCACATCTGATGTTGCACACTGGTACTCAGGGGGGTTATGTGTATAGAGTTCTGGCAATGTAGATAATAGATTCAAGCTAACAATTTGTTTGGATGATTTTTGATCATTTCATGTGTTTACTGTTGTGTAAGCGAGCTAATTATTTATGCTGCATGAGATGTTGTTTTAAAGCTATAACAAGCTTTATTTCACTAAAGGTTTAAACACTAACATAACCTTAACATTCTTTTGTTTTCTCATATGCTCATCCAGATTTAATACCAAGATTTGACAAAAAGGTCCCTTGAGATGAGTCCCTTGTGTCTGCTAGCTCGATCAAACAAGGTTAAGAATCAATTAACCAAAGGTTATTGTTTTCTGATTAAGTGATTCATTTGATGAAACATTATTCTGCCAAAAAATATGTTGTTTACCTCTTGGAATGCATGAATTGGATCAAACATATCCAAACCTTTCAAGATAAACTTTTTTTTTCTCAAACATAAAATCTAAGCTGAACTATGATATTGTTGCTTAATTTTATTAATTATGGTTTTCAACCATGTTTTCTTCCTCTTTTTCTACATAGTAGTTT